AACTATGGTCTTGTGAAATCTACTCTCCTCTTGAATAATTTGTGCTCATTTGTCAGTGAAGCTGCCTTATTGGAAGAATATTCAGATAAAAGTAAAAATATTTTAGAGTACCACAATTAACCACTGAAAAAGCATGAATGTTTGTACTGGAATATTACAAATGCTAATGATTATACATATTATACACATGTTTATTTTCAATTTCTGTACTTACAGTACATTTAAATTCATTTTACTACTGTATCCTTTTCATCTCTGGTAACAGTGTTTGAAATGTATACCTTTGTCTGTATCGCATATACTGTATATTTTGGTATCATCCACTTTTCCATATGTCAAATGATATATTGCTGAGTAAATGCCATGTGTTGTCCTCTCAGTTTTGGAATAAAGAATAAAGTACAGAGTGGGAATTCTGTTTCAGTCAGGGAATACAATTTTAAGACTGGGCATTGTGAACAAATGAATGAATTTCTGTTCTACAACAAAGCATCTTTGTCTGCAAATAACCCACAACTCAAAAGAAGCTATCACTGCAACCATAATTGTTTCAGCATACAAAGGCTGTTCTGAATGGGGACTAGGGCACTGATTGTTCAGTGCAGCTGCTTCAACTGTTTGCTCTTTTTTCATGACTCATGTGTTAACACCAGCCATGACGTCATTTGCACTAACAGTATTTTATCTTACCAAAATGTAAGCCCTATATTATAAATAACAACTTTTCCAGGTATGAAAGCTCACGTACATGGATATCAATTTCATCATAAGCCCCGTTCCTTGAGGTGCTCCTGTATTTTCAAAGCTTACAGTGACTTCCCTGGTATCTGACAACACCTGAGAAGGGGTGAGCAGTGCCTTGACATTTGCTCATCTAGATTAATAGCTATGGGTAGCTTTCAAAATCATTTCCTTGCAATTCAGTGAATGTGTTTAATTAACAAATTAGAGTTTGCTGCTCATCCCATGGTGTGATGAAGTGCAGCATGTCAAAAGGGGAGGAGAGTGTCCTGTATTTGCTTTAGTGCTCTGTGTGGTTTCTCAGTGAGGAAAATCAATTTTTGTGAGAATCATCAGAAAAAAGCAAGAAAAATTAACTAGTTAATTTGAATACGTTAAAGTTGTTGTGAAGGATGGGAGTAAAATGGTATATTAAACACAAATATAGTCTTGTATACTGTATACTCTTTCTATCCATCCAGTTTTGCTACGGCTGCTGTATAGCTGTTAAACTCAGATTTTTATACTGAAGTTCCACTGATGTTAAATAAATTGATGCTGAACCTGTGGTATCAAACAAATTGATGAAATTCTTAGATATACTTAAGCTATTAGCAGTCAAGCGAGCAAAATGGGACATATGAAACTTTTTAAGTGTATTTTTTAAGCTACATTAATATTGTGGTTAAATATGGGTACATTAATTAAAAAATAATATAAACAAATCACAGAAATTGACAAAAAAAATCTGTAACCATTAATGAAAAATGTTTGAAAGCTGTAAGCTGAAGTTCACAGTGCATAGTAAGTACCAGACACCTAAAGAATAAGGCACTGTGTTGTGCAGAATTTACATCATAAGATGCAAGTAACAGAACAATTTAAATGCAATGACCTGTGGTTAAGTTGTATGTCCTTTTTCCTACAGGGAATGAGTTCCAGATCTGAGGTTCTTTACACCAAAGTTATTACAATTTAAAAAAAAACATGCATAATGCTGGTTCCCTATTTCCCATGTAATCAGATTTTGCCAGTGCATATACATTACTTTTTCAGTTTTATTGTTCAAGATGGAATTTCATTTCCTCACCTGCACTCTTTAAATTTACAACACATATTCTATTAAAGAAGAGGCATTCACTTTTAGAAAAAAAACCAAGAACGAACAAGATTTTTTTTTTTGCCTCAAGGGAAAGGGGTTTGCATTTATATGAAATAATTATGTAAACCGTGCTATTCATATTTAAGTGCTGCTGTCCTAATTGAAGGTTCACTTACAAAACCACGGCACTATTGAATGGCCTCAGGTAGAAGGAGAGCAAAATGATGCAAGCTTGTGTTTAAGAGAGACAAGCTTAACCATGTCTCTTATAGCAGACAGCAACCAAAACATTCAGAAGAGTCTAAATGGAGTTTAAACACTTTCAAATGTCTGGCTCACTAGGGAGAAAAATAAGTAACTTTGAAGCAGTTTTCTTAAATCACAAAACGTGCTTTTCTACAGCTTTTACTGCACATAAATAAAGGTGTATCATGTACTGTGAATACTGCATATGCAATGTACAGTATATACATAAAATACTGTACTGTTTCTACATGTACAGTGTATACAGTATATATATGAAAAGAGAAGAAAATGTGGGCAGTTATACAAGAAACATAAAACAGAAAGGGAGTGCATTGTACAATCTGCAATTGACTTTAGTATTCTCTTTGCAATAACAACCTTTAAGTCACTCCCCAACATCTTGATGGAAACCCAGTCTAGAGACTGAGATCACCAAACCATAACTGTAATCTTCATTTTTTACATGAATTCCTTTGAATACTTCACAGACTGCTAAGGGTCATTATCCTGCTGGATACACCAACCTCTGTCCAATAAGCCTTCTAGCACTGGTTAACATCCTGTACAAGAGTGCAAAATTCCTTGCTATTTTGAAGCATTCATTGATCCTTCTACAGCACAAAGGTCAGAAGTGCCTCGGGAAGAAAAAACAAACCATATTATTAAACAATCTCCTTTATGTACAACTCTGGGTGTGAGGAGCATTTCTTTTCATTCTTCAACTGCCTTCCTCCAAACATGCTGTTGCTTTTTTGGTGAAACAATCGTTGTGTCTTTGTCTGGGCATGACATTTCTGAGAAGAAATCATTCTTCAAATATTCAGTGGAAAATAAGTATTGGCCTTCACAACGTTAAGCATCTTTTTCACCCTACTATGGGCATCCATCCTGTTAAAATATTATCGAATTGTCCGCTCACAAATTTCTTGTTCACCATCTCAGTTTTTGTGTCATAGAGTATCTTCAGTTGTGATCTGCACATTTTACCAAGGTGTCCAAATTATCTTTATGTCTTGCGGGAATCGTGTTTGTCTTCCACAAGCAAAGCCATCATTTTTTTTTCACGTTTTGTAAAGTATGGTACCTCAATGGGTAAATCAAGTTATCTGGCTAAAACAATCTAGTCCAATAATGTGTGTCCAAGTACTTTTATTTAAAATAAAGTATTATCTACTAGTAAAATGAGTATGAGTTTAAAAAACACATAATTTAATTGAAGAGTCATTTCAAACAATAAAGAATAAGGAAAACAAAGGGGAGAATACCCTTTGCCAACTGTTTTAGCAAAAGGTATGCTTTGATGATAATTAAGAGACCTGATGCAAAAAAAATCCCAAAAAGATTTTTGTTTTCAGTAAAGAATGTTATGAAGAAATGAGACAGTACTTATAAGAGACGTAGGGTGGGATATGTAAAATAATCAGTAGAGAATGGAAGGCGGCAATTTAAAGATATTAAGCTTGATGTACAGAATAGGTACAACACAAGAATGAAAAAATCAAAGAGTAGAAAGCACTGCTCCAAATGGCTTAATAAAAAAATGGAAAAAAATATTAGGAGAAAGAAAGAATTTAAAAATATATAAAAGAATTTTAAAATAACAGGACCGAATTGAAGGAAACGTAGTTTGATGAACTTCAAGTACGAGTCAGAAGGGATATTTAAGGGCCAATAAAGTAATAGAAAAGGATATAGTACTTAATTTTATAATCATAAAGATTACAGAAATGCTAATTACAATTACACTGGAGAATCACTGGTATGGCAATAAGAGTCTAGAGAATAGACATTATGGATTTAGAAAAAGTAGGTCTTGCTTAATTAACTTGCAATTCTTTGAACAGCAGTAACAGAAAAGCAAGCATATGATATGTTATATTTAGGCTTTCAGAAGGCACTCAAGTCACAGGTATTTAAATAAATATAGTACATGGACTTGGACTAAGATTGCATTAATGGACAGGAAACAAAAAACTGGTGAATGCCCAAATTGGGGTTGTTGTAAATCGTGGGGTACCACAGAGATCAGTCTTAGTACCACTTCTCTTCTTGATTTATATCAATGATCTTGATTCTGGTACAGCAGGTAAACTATAGAAGTTTGCAGATACCCAATTAGGAGGAATAGCAAACACTGTAGAAACTTCAAAAGAAATTGAAAAACATTCAGACCAGGAGGGTGAAATCCCATTTCTGGCAGGTATCTTCAGGTTTTCATTCAACCACGGTCAGGTCATTATTGGCTTAATCAAGCCAAGTTAATTACTGCTCCTGCTTATCAGATGTCGGTGATTTAGAAAACACAGAGACACACTGGCCCTTTAGGAGCAGAATTGAACATTTAGACAAAACTGTCCAAAGTTCAAAACTTGCCAAACATCTGGGAGATGGCATTCAACACAGATGGATGTAGAATATTACAGGCAAGTACCAAAAATGTACAGTATAGTAGTGCTTTTAATATTGAGAACAGGCCCTTATCAAAGCTGATGGGACTACCCAGCCATGATGTTGAATCTGATAAACTGGCTTGAGGTCATATGTATATCAATTACCTACTAGCAACCAAACAAGCTAGATTGGCAGAATAGCCACATTTCATTCGCAGATGTTCTTATGTTCTAGAAGTCTCCTTATTTTTGTGGGTATTATGTGTGAAACAGTTCATAGAATACTTGACTCAAATACATCTTTGATGAGGTAGAAAGGACACTAGGGCATATTCTTGCTCCCTTGGTACAAATGCAGCTTAGTTTCTTAACTCCTCAGGCAACTACACAAGTGGAACAGTACAGTACTAATATAAGCTTCATCAAGAGAACTGTTAGGAAGAACGGTACAGTTAAACTAAATACTGAACATTACACTGAACATACTTTCAGTATTGCTGTTTGCAATGAGTCCAAGGAGTAAAAATTCAACACCACATTGATTGATTTCTGCACAAAAAATGCAGGTTTGGCTTTATTTTTTTTAACACAATAGAAACTAAATAAGAATAAAGTATTCACACGGTTGTTCTGCCAGAATAAACAGAAACATCTTTAAACGCTAACATAGTTACTTACAAACACCTATATTTATTATTTCATAAATAGGCGCAACAGGTTCCATTAAAAAAAAAGATTAAATATAGACACAGTATAAAGAAACAATAATAATACACAGCCATATGTCAAGGTTATAATTTAGCTGTTTCCAATCTGTCACTGCATCTAATAAACACCAGATAAGCATTTGGCAGTTTTTTACACAGAGGATTTGAATGACATTTACTAATCAATACACCATAAGTGATACAAAAAAGCATTTCTATGTAGTACAAAATAAATTTTTTCTTGTTTTGCTTATTTTTTTAAATTTCATTTATTAACATCATCAAATATTTCATGCTACTCTATGGGTCAATGCCATCAAGTGTTTTAAAATAACTTGGGAACATAACTGTTTTTTTGTTTTTCGCAAAATATAGTCATTTACTGGATTCATTCCCTTAAAAATTAAGCAAAAAATAGGAACATTTGCCAATTCAATATCCCTCTTAAAAGACTGAAATAACTGCTCATATCCAGTTCAAAACAATGTTGTAGCTAAAAAAGTTTACCTTTTTTATACTCTAAGAGAGTGTAACAGAATCTATTTACAAACTCACTATGAGTGCTATATCAAGCCATTAAAAGTCTTTAGTAGTTCCTATTAACACTCATTTTTAAGACCAACAGAATTCTAGGATTTCTTTCGCAGACACACTACAGTTTCTAAGGCAGTTCACTAGTGCAGCACTCCACAGCAAAAACCAACATAAAAGCCATGTTGTCCAGATTTCTTTTGCAACAAAAGAAGAATCGGTCCATGAAAGTTTTCAAAATATTTGTTAAGAAATAAGAAAGACAGGTTTTTGCTCTCTTTGCAGGTAAAATCAGGAACTCAGATATACATTTCAAGGTTCTAAGTGCTTAGCGACTTAATTTCAATTGAGATGATGAACTGCCTCAGCCCTCTGAACACGGCAAAAGTTATGAAGACTTCAAGACACTGGAGAACAGGAACATTTCACCTGTTCAGGTGAGGTACAGAGCTTTATCCCTTTGCAGGTTCCTAGAAGAGAAAAGAAGAACATTACATGAGAATACTACATATCGTGCATCTTAAGCCTCTGCATTGTGGTTATTAGAAATGGGAAAATTTGGAGCCAGGTACTGTCGTACTAACTAGAATCGTATTAACATTGACCAAACATTTTCAAGGTTTTAAATGATTACTGACCCATTACCACAGTAGTCATTGCTCCAGTCCACACTCTGTTGCGGAGGATTTCTACACCCAGAACGAATGTAATCCATTGATGGAGGCACAACCTGACCAGCAGAGGAAGCGGAGTTGATGATGTTCTGGAACTCGGCTTGAAGAGGGTATCCCTGCAAGAATGAACAAATTATGCATAAATGACTTAGCAAATAGCAAAACATTCACCTTCCTCTACAATGTACGTAAATTAAGCAATCTCTAGCGCAAGGGGTCAAAATGTTAAAATTTAAATTTAAAGTCTTCTCCTGTTCCATAGCAATTAAACTTAAAAAAGAGTTAAAATTAGATTTCTTTTATTTTTAAGGCAAATTGTTTTTCAAAAACCTTGTGTAAATGTCTCATATTCTCAAGCTAGTTACCTCATCCTTCATTGGCTTATGTTTGAGAGTGCATTTTTTTTTAACAACGCAATTTTATTTATGAACTTTTTCCAAGAAACTCAAAAGTGCTGTACAGCAGCACACACAAGCTACAGTACATATACCAGAAGTAAAAACAAAAGGAAACCAAGAGTAAAATTATATGATACATTAAAACCATTAGAGAAAAGACATGTAAGTGTGATTTACAAATGTTAACACAGAACCTCTAGAAGGTTTTTAGAGTATGATATTTGGTATCAGAGATATTACATGTACTGTATATTGATAGGTGGACTGAAGTCATGCAGTAAATCTCTAAAATAAACTGGAGCTAGGCCACTAAAGGCCTTGAATGTTATCTTGAGAGCCTTAAGGTCCTGGGATCTATTTTTCCCAGGTAGGCACCGTAATGTGAAGGGGACAGGAGTTAAGTGCCTGAAGCCTATTTAGAACCTTCGAAGAAACTCAAGACATTACAGCAGGCAGATTTTGATTGAATAAAGACAAATAACTATATTTCAACACCAGATAGACAAGAACAAGGAAGGTAATGGAGCAAATTTTATGCTAGTGGGAAAAAAGACACCTACACTTTAAATGACACAGAGTGACGCTAGGATTTCTACCTGCCATCAGTGGTTTGATTTCTGCACTGTGGACAATAGCACTGATTTTTGTGAAGTTGATGTTGAGAGCCTTGGAGAACAACCTCAGTCACAGTTTACCTTGAGAAATTTCTGTTGCATCCATATATTCATATCAGAAAAGTATATATATAATGCAGAAACCACAGAAGTGGCATCTGATTTAGTCTGCAAATAAAATCTGAATGTAATTAGAGTAGTAACAGAACCCTGGGTGTCTACGGTGAAGAGTTTGACCAAGATATAAATACTAAACTAGTATCAAGCTCTTTGGAGCACCCACAGTAAATGGGGCAACATTAGATTTAACACAAACATTACAAACTAGCTCCTGATAGCAAAATAGGAGACAAACCAATGAAGGAAATCACCAGAGATCTCTAGATACTTTCCCATCCAATGTAGAACGATGCTGTGATTAATGGCTGTATCACAAACTGCACTTTAATCCAGACGGAGAAGAATTTTAAGAGGCACAGAAGCCACCAGTAGATAATTAACTACCTCAATAGAGACTGTTAGTGGAAGTGCATTTAAAACCTTGAACCCTGGTATGGGAGTGTGGAATAATCTACCTTGGTTTCCCACTGACCATCAAACAGGCTAGAGGGATGTAATGCCCTCCGCCAAATTTCTAATGTTATGTTTAAGTACTCTGTCTCTCTTGAAAACGAAAGATGACATGGTAATTGAGTCGAAACTACCAACATTCCAAAACGTAAGGAAAGTAGTGGCGATGCAATTACAAGACCAGTCTTATGAAGGTCATGTTGTCATTTCTAAGATCAATGCTTTCACTTATTCTGTCAAAAGTGTGGTTCGGGATTTCTGGCTACATTGCATAATCATGAGCAAGCACAGTGGGGGCGTGGCTTACAGAGGTCATGGCTGCACCTTCGTGATCTATCCAATTCTTTGCTTTATAATCAAACCGTTCCCCTTCTCCTGCCGCACGACTATGCCAAGATACCAAGGTCCAGGGAGGTTGGTTAAAAACGCAATTGTTCTGAAAACAGAAGGTTTGAAATAGGTAATGGTTTTACATCGTATAAAGAGGGAGAATCAAGCCAGTGAAAGTTTTTATAACTCCCACGATGTTGCTGGGATGGAAAAAAAGGAGGAAAAGATATCTCGTTTATATATAGATATGCTGTATATAGACAAATAGATATAGATAATCTCTGGTATATACAAAGGTAGTGTAAAAAAGGAAAATGTTAGTCATTAACGTTCGCACGCATAACAACCACACAATTTATACTATGCATGGATTATCACATTTCTGTCATCTCCTTATCGGGAAATAAGAACAGTGTCAACAGGAAATGGGAACTGTGCCACTTTCTAAAGCTTATCACAGACTTTTGCAATATTATATTCAAGCAGGTTGGACAGTACAGTTAATGACTGGGTTTGACAATAAGTTGCTTTTTATGTTTTATCATTTATTCTTATGGTGATTTTGTTGCACTTTAAAATAGTTTTTATATTCCCTTAATGAAATGATAGCTTTCGATTTTAAAAATGATCTGTTTCAATAGGCACAGCAACATATATTACAAAAATGTATATAAATAACAGACATAGAGGTTCTTTAAATGCTTCTCATAGTTTATTTTTCTCTATGTTAATTGCACCACCAAGGTCTTGGGTTCAAAAAGAATTCCAGTGAATGACTTGCTATCTTACTAGCTCTTCAACAGTGCTGTGACACCCTGTGTATGCCTATAATTGTCTGTGTATAGGATGGCATGTAAAGTTAAAACTTGTGCAAGTTCTATCTTTCCAAACATTTGTATTTAGCAGTTGCCTTTACAGATTTAAATTTGAATTCTACAAAGCACTGCCAGCCAATCTGACTGATGAAACTGAAGCGATAGCAAAAGTGGTTTCACTTGGAATTTCATACAATATTACAGTATAATAAGGGAGCTTAAATCAACATAAACGCGAAAAAAATGAGAGCAAATATTTTAATTTGAAGACTTTTCCTGTACTTATCTAGAAAAGAAAACTGAAAGGGAAGTTAATCCCTGCAATGCACAAGAGAGTCTGTCTGAAAGAAGCCAGCAGCAGGTGGCTGGGTTTTTGCTTGTTAGATTCTACCTATTCATGCATTGTTCCCAGAAATTCTTCTCCTTCATTCAATCACAAAGGCACCATCTGTCTCTTTGTATTGCTCCCCCTGCCTGAGCTAACCAAAGTTCAACCACAGTTTTTTATTTGCTCTTCACAAATATGCAAAACGAATGAAGATTATTACACTATACTGGATTTACTATTGCTATAAAAGCAAGATCTATGAAAAGAGCTTAAAAACTTAAAGTGGGATAAGAAAGGCGATGTTTAAGCATTTTTCCTCCTCTAAGATTGACATAGCAGTACAAGGAGCACTATGGTAATCTAAAATTGGCATTCAGATAAATTTATCTTTTAATCCACTTGAAAAGAAAGTACGTTTGAAATGACATTCAGCCACGGCATCAGTTAATTTTCCTGTAGAAGAGTGATAAAAGTGCTGAGTTAACCCATGTTTTGTATAGCAGCACATACACCTTTTTTTATGAAGAGGTTGCATACACCAATGTTATTTCTTAATGTAAAATATTGATAAAGACAAACAATGACATCATTACACAATAATTCCTTAATATGGTAAAATAAAAAGCTCTGCTTTTCAATTATTATTATATTTTAAAGTGTATAATTACACCTCTAAATTCACTAGAGATTGTTTAATTGATTTTTAGAGCTTGAATGAGAGCTTATGGGGTATTATGACAGCAGTCAAAAACAATTGCTTTGCTTAGTTATGAAACAAAAAATACATTTGATAGTTACTAACTAACAAACACTGGAATGACACATTTAAATATTAAACTAGTATATATTTAGACTGGTTTCCTAATAGATGACAAATGGAATATAAAAGCACTTTATTTTTTAAAGACAGTGATGGTTTGAGTCCTTGCCTAAAATATTTTTCACTCCCAACCCATTTCACATGAGCTGAAAATTGCGTACGGCTTTAGAAACAAAAAGATCACTGTAAAGCAAGAATCAGTGTGTCTGTCCCAGGATGTCACCCTGCTAACTCTAAGTTAACAATGAGTGACAACTACATCTTCACCCCTGCCGATCGCAGTCACATAGTGCCATTCCTCAGGCAGCAAAAAACTCCTCCATGCCAGAAGACTGGGTCTACTACTGCAAGAGAATGTAGTAATATGTGCCAAGGATGGTGACAAAAGGAAGCCCCAGTTAAATCTGCATGATTAATAATAGGCAAGCGCATACATGTTAGAAATGAGAATCTAACAGCTTTGATTTTAGGCCCAGAAAAAAGACATCTACTTGATTAATCCCAATAGAGCATCATCTGAGATATCATTGTGAAAAAATCTAAGCGTGACTCCTAGGTTTAAAGAGTTAACATGGGGTTAACAGGTCATTTTTACATGACACCAGAATGGGTTTTTCTACCACTGGAGGCAAAGCAGGAGTTTCTTCAGTGCGTAGTGGCTCAAATGAATCAAGATGTGCTGGAGGTACCCAATGCCTTTCTTCTTGCAGAATGTCTCCCATATTCAGGAGATTTCTGGGGGAATTTGTGGAGTCTGTCAGATATATCCCAGAAGTGAACTATAGGTTTGAGGTCCAGGGACATTTTTGCCCAAGGTAAAGAGTGGATTTTCCTTGTTTGGAGGTGGCCTACATGTAATTACATTTCCCAACATGAGAGCAAGAGAAGGGCAAAAGGTGATATTTGCAGATGATGTTGCCATGGTAGGATGATAATTCTACAAGATCAAATTGATTCTGCTCAATATTGATTAATTCAATTGCTGGTGTTCTGAATTCATCGTTAGTAAAGTGTTTGGTGGACAAGCTCTCACTGTTTGCGGCATGCAGATGACTTCTCATGGATTACAGTATGTGTGGCCTGTTGTGATCATTGGTGCAGATATCTATGTTGCCACCAGTCATGCCATGCCTAGTTGAGCAGCAGACATTCCTTACAGCAGACAGTGGATGATGTACTTAATACACCCACAAATCTATTTCATGAGGAAGGACCACCATCACCTTCTGATTAACCTTAAGACATTCAGTTGTGCATCTGTGTGCCCATGGGGATTTCCTGCACTAGAGCAATCGTACAGTTAGTTCTGCATCTTTAGATTTAGCTTTGGCTTCATATGGTAACCACAGCAAAAGTGATTGTACTACCTGTATGTCTTCTGCCTTTACCTGTACGCCTACATGCACTATGATATTTATTATATCCCTTGCCAGTATGAGAATGCTACCACTACTGCTTCAGATGTTTCTTCACTATACAATGAAAGAAAACACTATGATACAGATTCAGCCCATTTTAGATGCTGTTTTTCACCTGACAGTTGCATCTAGTTTTTAGTGTCTTTCTGAAGTTCTGTTTTAAAATTAGATATTACCATAGAAAAAGCACCATTTAATGTCTGGTATGTAAAGTAATTAAATGCCAACAGAATGCAGGAATTCTTCTGAATCATTTACACTACAATCCAAATTTAAAATCACGTGACTCATAGCGTACTCAGCAATGGAGTACTGAACTGATTCACCAGGGAGTGGGGGTGGGTGGGTATTTTCCAAGTAAAAAAAAAATGCAAGGGTGCTTTGTGATTGAAGAGGTGATAACCCCCATTCTAAATCATTTCAATTTCTCACCCATGCAGTTCGAAGTGAATCTAATTCAATTTGAGAGAATAATTGTCTTTAGTGAAAACATCTTAATCCCGGAACACTATAGTAGATGGAATGATAATGTTATTTACAATTGTTTATGCTGAACAAGCCCCTGTTCACACCTAGCCTCAGACTCCCAAACATGTACTGTAAGAAACATCTATCTGCTCTAAATAGTTTAAGACAATGCTAGCCTAATAAACGCTTTACTAACTGCAGTAAATTAATAGTGTCTGCTTTTGCAGTCATTGATAAACATTAATAATACAGAAATCAGGCTTAGAGAATTGAGTGCTTACAGGTCTAATTAAAAAAGAAAAAAATAATTTAGTATTTCACAGTGTGATCCTCAAGAGAAAATTACTCAATGTTTTGAAACACGGCTGGAATTTAAAGTTTCATGTTGCAGTGTTACAGAGAAATCAAAAAGAAGAGGCACTGATAGAGATTAATTTGATGTCAAAGGGGACATTTGCTCTTTAATTAGATTTTTGTAGCCTTAGCAGTTTCTCTCTGCTGCAGCATCAACTCCTAAAAAGCCTGCAGCCAAACTGAACACTGATCCCCATCTCTACACTTTACTGGGAACTAATTTCATTTCCTGCCTGTCTGAAGAGGTGTTTTCATCAGATACCAGGGTTTTTTTGTCTTCCCAACTGATGTATTCATCAATCTCAATGTTTTTTTGCAACCTTAAATTACATCCAAATCCTAATGCATCTGTTTATTACAAGAGAAAATTGAAAATCTGTCTGTGCGATATCATACAAAGATTTTTCCGTAAGGTTATAAAGCAAGCTGACAGATATTAATGATTTCTTTCTTGACCTCATTCAGAGTGCAAGGAATAGAAAGGAGAACTGGAAATCCTGACAAATGGAATGGGAGCATATAGCTAACACATGCTACACACCCACCCACATACATAAAGTATATATACACACACTGTAGCTAGATAGATATTGTGTCAAAAACATGTCAGATGTTGTATGAAATATAACAGGTTTGTAATTTAGTTTTGTACTTACCTGATTACATACTGAGATTGGAATTTTAATTGATAATTTCCTCCTTACAGAAATCTCTAATTAAAATAACTTAATCTTCATATGCATTGCCACAAGTCATTTTTCTAATACTATGACTATGAAGGACACCTGATTCAAATTATTACATTTAACACATTGACCTCAAGTGTATTTTATATAGCCTGTGTTATATCAAAACAATGGTGGGATATTAGTCATATCATCCACCATCTAAGAAACCAAACTAGAAAGACAAAAATATTTGGAAATATTTTTGTTGCAATTCTTATATCATTCATTCACATGCATTCCATTATTAAGATATTTACTAATATTTCTATTGATATATAGTAAAAGCAATTAAATTGTCAACAAGTAATACATTTAAAATCCTATCAGACATTACTTTTCTATAATTATGTAACAGCACATGACATTCTTCATATTTTCTGAAATCATCCAAAAGAGCTCCTCCATACGGCTGAACTTCTTCTACCACAAGAGTTCATTGCGTGAAAGGAATGGAAATGCTCTTCAGTTCCATATTTTTCGTCATGCCAGGGGGTAAATAATAAAACATTCGCTTTGGCTCCTGAGACACGATGTTAGAACCGTAATCTTTACTTCGGATCACACCTTTCATGATGCATCGTCGCAAGGCGCTTTACAAACAGTCAAAGTGGGTTTTAAGAGAGAAGACAACAGATGTAGTACTGACCTGCTGCATTGATGGGGAATGAAGTGGTAACTGGTGATTGCCTAGCTGCTGCTGCATGGTGATAGACTGATGTTGCTGGAGACTTAGGTGCTGGTGCAGAGGTGGGCTTATTTGGAGAGGGGGGGTTGGAGACACTGCCATGTTGGCTATGGAAACAGTCACCGGCATCTGTGAGTTGGGCTTGGGGGCGATACTCCGGGGAAGGTTGGGATGCATGGCAGGCAAGTGTGGATTCATTCCGGGCTGCTGATGATAAGGAGATCCCATATACATTCCCGAATGAGACTGCGCGGCTCCAGGGAAAACCTGCTGCTTGGAGTTCATCATTTGTGAACCCTGGGATGTTTTTACATCAACAGGCTCGCTGTAACTCTGAGAAAGACGATAGGAAAAATCAGCTTGTAACTACCACCAGGCCATCAATTCAAGCAAGATCCACAGGTGTTGGTTGTGAGTTGATCTTTACAGTCTGTTCTTCCAGCCTGTGATTGACTACCTCTACCTTTGCTACTTCATTACTATATAAGCTTACAGTCGAGCACCAGGAAATACACAGTCTCCCAGAAATGTCCGAAGTATGGCCACAAATACATTTTAAACCACCGCCTTGTTTTTAGCACTTACGCAGCTTACAAATTAACATAAGATCACACAATATTTAAAATCTGTTACTGTATGTATCATACAGAGAAAAGGATTTGTATGTCTTTATTAACCCATCACCAACAGAACAACCAATTACAAAACTGTAAGCTGACCATTTGAAATCGACCATCTTGTTAAAAATTCATTCCAGACAGCATTATAAAAGGGTGCAGTTCTAAAGGCAGATTTAAGAAGTGCATAGCTACTGGTGAAATTCATTAAATTCCTTTTTTACTTAAACACTTAATATTTGGGCATTATCAATTTACCATAGAATATCAACAGTTTTAATTATTAGCAAGTTAAATCCAAATTTCTGAGGTTTACAGTGGAGGCCCACAAGCTATCATGCTGGGTTTAATTTATAATCAAGGTTATTCAAATATAGTACTTTTGAACCAAGAAACAACTGATAATTCTGATTTATTTCTACAAGAATTACTGTGAAATCACCCCAAAATAAAAATAAATCATATACATTTGAGGTTTTAACAGTAACATAAACAGTGATAAACTTTTGTACTGATTTTTAAACATTAAAAAGTCATGCAGTGATGAACAGCAAAAAACACTATAGCTTTATCGCTTAAAACCTTGTTTCTCGGCATAAAAATAAGAGGCTTCTTCGCCAATTTTATTTAGCAAAAATGTAATTTATTCAGAAGCAGAAATAACTGAGGCAAGGGTGAAAAGTCTTCTCATTTAGGATTGATCTGCAGAATGCTTCTATCCTTGGAAGGAAGAGTGTTTTTACTGGAAAGGGAGCTGGAGAGTGTTTGCTTTTCTTACTAGAATGGTATTTCCCTACAGGCGTATAATTAATTGATTTGGGTCCTTCGTTTGAATATTAGTTATTCACAGCTTCTGCGAGTTTCCCACTTGTATGCTTTACAAGTAGTGCATGTCTTTACTTATCAAAGGCCCCAGCTGGGGCTATGTTACTTGTAGATTCAATTGTGAAGTTAATAATTTATATTATTTAGGTCATTACAATGCACCAATTCAAAGGAATATTTCATAGGATTTGCAGTAGGGAGTCACCTTAGCTCCTTGAAATAGCCTCAACTTTGATCGTATAAATTAAATATGCACATTGCACACTTACCTTAGAAACCAGGCTAGCCCTGTAAGCTGCCAACTGCTTGAGGTATTCCTTTTTGGCAGCTTCTGTTTTCTTTTTGTATAACTGCAAAATAATAATTGAAAAAAAGTTCTCAGCACCCATAAACAATCATTCCTACTAATTCAGTTAGCTACAGTACCCTTATGATCTGTAATCTTTTTGTTGCTGCTGGCAGAATAGTACAATAAGTCATTACTTACGAATGCTCCCTATATTATTTTCTTTTGGGCTGTTTATTATCCATTCCTTTCTCCTCTTTATCTCTAGCAGCTGTGACTACTTCTTTCAGCTCTTTAGTGCAGCTGCCCTCATGACATTTCAGCTAGACCCACATAGCAACCCTCTATTACACAGACTTTATATGTCAAGTACAATTAAGAAAGACAGCTGATTATTCTTTCAAACAGACACATACAATTTAACTAACATAATTTAGGTCTTACTTAAACATTGAGGTCTTTCCAATGTACATAGATTGCCTGTTCACTTTCTAAACATTAATTAAAGCTTTATTTTTACTATTATGTAATATATATATATAATAAATATTAGCTTTATTACACTATCGTTCTGTATTAACAGTTTAATATTTGTGTAAATTATGCAGGATTGTCCTGTAGGGCTGTCAGATTCGAACTGTTAGCGAGATGGCTAAATATGCATTTGACTGTTTTGCAATTATATTTGCCCTTTTATGATGAAATCATGGGTTCTTAATAGAACACATTAAGTCATTAAAGGCATATACATAAAAAGATGGTATTTTATAAATTAAGACCTCAGGGGGGTTATAGAAGCTTTATTTGTATTCTATCAAAGTGCCTTTGTATGTTTTTGACTTGTTAATGTTTGTAGTTCTTCAACAGATCCGTTTTTTCACAACTGGTTAGTCAAATGTGCCCCTTTCTCATTTCCTATGGTTATGAACCATTGTAACACGAGCAGCAGTGTGAAATAGTAAAGGAACTGGGAAGTTGTGGGTTCAAATCCCAGGTGGGATATTACTGTTGATGAAAGTTTCATCAGATTTTCAAGCTGTGAGTTCCCCTGCCATTTAATTTTATAATTGTTACAGTTAAACCTACTGCATTTTAGATTAACTTAGCATAAAGCATGAGAGTGTTCTGCTTCTAATTGTTTTATTTTGCTAAATTAAACTAGAACATCTATTTTAAAGTTTGTTTGCCAAATCAAATGTTAATAATCAATTAGTAGGATATTTTGCACTAATGACAGATCTATAGGATTAAGCCTATGGTATGTCTGTCTTAATTTGCAACACATTAAATAAAATGCACAAAGTCATTTAAATTTTAAAACCACTTTTATCTCAATTTATATTTAAAAAAGTAATAAATTTGAAAAAAAAATAGTAAGACTGCACAAGTCTGCAGAAACCCCAATCAATTCTAAAATAAATCCCATAAAAACTGTATTTCTTTCACAATTTATACCAAGGAGAAGAAGAAAGACTTAGCCATGATGTGAGCTCTGCTATCAGAGTAATGCTGCAGAGGAGTTACTGATTTGATTGACTTGACTGGACATATAATTAATGGAATTACTGACGATTCAGAGAAGACAGTGGTTTGTGGGCTCTGAGGATTTGTTGGCTGCTTCACAAGTGCATTTCTGTCTCATCGTTTCCCTGCTGCTTCTAATTCAGGAGGGCAGGCTCATAATTGAAGCAAATTAACTGTTTACATTTGCCACTTCTACCAGGGGAAAGAAAACGTATCAGCAGGAAAGAAGGATAGAAAATTAAATTCTTCGCACTTGTGTCCAGGCTGCCCCTCTCTAACAAATTAACAGTAATTTCGTGAGGCATCAAACACAGGAATTGAGCGAATTAAATCATACAGAGCTGTTGCTTGCTGAGCAACATGTGAACTATGCAGCCCTAAACCAAACATATGCTAAGTATTTTTAATATCACCTGTTTGCTGTCTCTGTGATAGCTTGAAGACATGCTATAGGGCTATGTGGATCTATAATGTTAAAGCAACTGCTGACAACAAGTACATTTGGATGAATGGGAAAAATAATGTTAATTAGTTCTCTTCACATATTTTAGTGCTTCCAGAAATGTTTGCTCTTAAATTTCCTTTTCCCTTTTCAAGCAAAATTAACTGACGTACAATGAATCACTCAGATGAGTTGATAACAGCTGTCAGTTCCTCTGAAAAGAAGATCAAAGCTGTATTTCACATTTCTTGTGAAAAACATTTTATTTCAGCCTTCAGCGATATTTTCTGCTTGGCTTTGCTGGTACTGCAATGCATTCAAGGGTTACAACACACCAAGATATTGAAAGATAATGGCTTAATTTGAATGTTTCAAAGATAAAGAAAGAGATCCATCCCAGACTCTAAAGTATGTTGATTTGGAAAGTGTACATAAATTAATAAGATTGTCACATTAAGATTGTCCACACCAAATTCACATTTGGTGTGGATGGATTATATATTATATACATGTGTTGATACACATGAAAAAATAGATATGTTTAATTAAAAATATTTTATGAAAAGATTATCCACAAAATGTGGATATGTGCTTTTGTTTAACTTTTATTTTTAATTTCACTTTCATAAACATAAACTACATATTGTATTAATGAAACCAAAATAAACCAAATACAATTTGTTATTGTAATCATTTACTGCTCATTGTAAAAATAATGGAGATGAGTGATATGTCATTTGACACATTTATAATATTCCTTATTTGCAAACGGTGTGTGCATCTTTACTTCGTAGATTATACAGTACAAAATTGGTGCATAAGGCATGGGACAGGATGTGTGGAATTAAAAAATAAACATAGAGCTGATAGAAAACCACAATATGTATTCCTTCTCTAATACTGTCAACGCCTTTGTTTTTTAACAATGTCATAGAAGGTGGAATGACATAAAGAGCCCAATTTTACAGCACAATTTCAATACTTAACATTAATGTTGACTGACACCTGTTGGGTTAACATACTGCTTACTTTATGGATCTCAGTGGAATATAAAAACATATTTGCATGAAAATTCACTTCTGCCACAGTTGAGGTTCGGACACAGGACATGAGATGAGGTGCTTCATGTGAAATAAAGAATGTGTAATGGGTGTGGTGTTTGAGATAAGGTTAGGATCAAGCTTAAAGAATCCTGGAAAAGAATTTCTACCCAAATCCATTGTGGGTTTTATATTTCTCAGAAATGTGTCCTGAAAGTAAAAAAAATGGGTCATGGAAAAGATCGCTCATAATTCTGGTATATGTAAACTCCTTTCAAGGGCAATGTTGTTTTTCTCTATTTTTAATCTAACATGATAGAAATAACACACTCCTTTATGAAATATTGACAGTTTAGGATTTAAAACCACTCTAAGGAGTCACAAATCACTGCTAAGCAGTTATTTTGTTTGACATGTATTTGTCAGGCAGTACCCATAAAACATGGTTGATGTCATATGTACATATAGACAAACGGATACTGGATTTTTATTAAAATCATTGTATTTCACCTGTTTCTGTTCCTCGCCCAAGCCGTCCCACATAGAAGCGACGATTTTGGAAACTTCACCAAATGTGGCATTTGGGTTTTGTCCCTTGATGGCTGCCTGAGTGTCACGAAAGAAGAGTGCGTAGGCAGACACCGGTTTCTGTGGCTCATTGGGGTCTTTCTTCTTCTTTTTCTTTGGAGTTTTTGGCTTCTTTCCTATGTCAGTAGCTGGTCGTTTTTCTGCCCCATTCATCTGCAAGGCATGATATCTGTTTTCAGTAAACTGCGACATAAAAAAAAGCAAAGACAATAAAATACAGCAAGCGGAAAAAAACATTTCCAAATTTTTATTTCACAAGGAAAACATCAGCCACCCAATCAAGATGAGAAAGATAAAGGGGAAAAACAGTGATTTTGGTGTTTTTATGAACAGACCCACCCATTTTGAAAAGCTGGTTCCGTTCAACTAGCAGCTAGAATGGCTGCTTCAGGCCAGGAGGAGGAAGGACAGATCAACAACAATATACAGTATACGTACTTGCAGGAAACAGGCTCTGCTGGGAAGCAGAGAGATAAACTGCATCTAGTTCACTCCACCCAAGCCAGCCCTACTGACCCCTGTCTATCACACCAGTTCAGCCAACCACCAGACTACAGGATTGATTAGTTTAAATCATAAATCATATTTTATAGGAATATCATAATACAGAATATTCCTCCCCTGGAAATGCATAGGTGAGAGAAAAAGTTTTGCGCTTTAATCTGGATGTCAGCTAGTATCGGTTCATAAATAAAATCAATCTGTTTCTGTTTTGAATATGAATAATCTGAACCTGTGTAATACACAGAGCCATTGTTTGATAGATTATGTTTTATGCACATTTTTAGATGCAGAGAGAGATTAATGTCACATGATGCCTGTGGTGAAATAAATCTTCTGTCATACACAGTATGGTTTTTATGATCTTTGCTTCCCAGAGTTTGGTAGTGGCAGAATAAATAAATAACTGGGATGAAAGACAAGTCAAAAAACATAAATGAAGTATTTATATTGTGTTACTATTTCTGATCTCATAGAAATTAGTGACATGAATCTTGTTTATTTTCTAAAGAAGTGTCCTATGTGTTCTGATTCTAATTACTAAATTATAATTCTAAACAGATGAAAAGCATGTAATACTGTATAACATGAAGAAAAAATTCCTTTAATGTCTAATTTCATTTGCCTCATCCTGCCTCTCTTGCAAGGTCATATGAAAAAGATAGCAGGAAATACACTTTTCTGAGTAAACAGCAGATGTTAATGCCATTGCTGTACAGTTTCCTGAGATGGTGTTGTTTTACAATAAATTAGTTTTCTCTGAGATAATAATGGATTTCCCCTGATGACTTCCTTGGAACACTTCACACTTTATGCTGACTCTCTACTGAACTATTTTTGTAAAAAAAATGTTTTGTGTAGTATTTTTGTAATTTACAATTCCAGTTGAATTCAAATACTTCTTTGGCATTTTGTTGTATGCAAATAAAGTTGGAGTAAAAGCCAACAGTTTGATTCTATCTAGCTACAGCAATGCAACACGTTTTGCCATTGGATAATGCTGAATATGAGAAAGATCTTTCTTTAATACAAATTTAATCATGCAGTACATATTGCTTAACATTTTTCTGTGCCCCTTCCAACTCAGGTCTGTAAATGGGTTTCATGGAGCATGAACAGATTCTTTCTTGTTTGACATAATGTGTTCACTGAATGTGTTGTTAATTCCTTCACAAAGGAAGAAAAAATGTCAGCTGAAATTAGTTGTTTTATCACTTTCACCAAAATAATTAAAATTATACCTAACTGACACTCAAACAAATAATTGCATGAAAGGATCTTGAACTGGACTTGCCAAATCCACGCACCAACTAACCAACTGAAAACACACACACACTTCTTTAATATAACTCCAGACTTTCAGCACGAAAGCCAATCTTGTAACTCCCTCACCAAAGGGCACACATAGCATACCAGGGCAGTAACTGGCTGCTACATGTCTCCAACCTGCCCGGAAACTGCACTCAGGGTGTGCATAATATATTTCACTTTTAAAGTTAAGAGTATGTGCATTGTACAGTATGTGTATTTATGTGTGTTAGTTGCAATTATTCTAACACTGCAGTTTTGCCATAAACTGTGTGTGTCAGGCTGCTATAGTTTCCAATTTAAGTAAATCAAGAGGAATAAAATGAAAGGCACCATGGAATGGACAAAGGAAACCATGGCTTTGAATAATGCTACTGCATACTGCCATAATGCACTTGAATGTATTTGATGTGGCTCTTCCTTTTTTAAAGCATTCATGAATACACTATGCAAGCCTGGAAAAATTGGAAGTTTACATTTAATGTACCTTTGATGTCTCATCAGCGTCATCTTCATGGACTGAGCTAGAAGGAGACGGGGTTGCAGATTTGCTTCCTGGAGGTGATGGGGAACTATGAGGAACATTATTTCCACCCATATTCAATCCCAGCTGTGCACTGAGCTGTGACTGGTTGATAGTGGTGAGCTGACCATGCTGCAGCATAACAGACTGGACCCTGGGTCTCAAAGCTTCCATTTGTGGGTGAGTGTTGTATCGGGATGATTCTGTGTTTGTCATGTCCTGCATCTGTAATGAATAAAGAAACAAGCTTTTAATCATTAAATCCCATAACAGCCTCCTTTCTACAAATCACCTCTGAATCATACTTAAGCTGGGCACATTTGTACTAGTGTCACAGTTACAGTGATTGTTGTTGATGTCCATGAATTTTGGTTATACATCTTTAACTTTCAACAAAACAGCCGTCCATTTTTAACCACTTCATCAACTTCAGGGTAGTGGAGGAGCCAGAGCCTAGCTTGGTAAGCAATGGGAGCAAAGCACGGTTCACCTTGCATGGGATGCCAATCCTTCACACACACATAATCGCAGACACTAGGTTAATTTTCCCAGAAGCCAGTTAACCTACAGTACAAGTACGTGACTATGGAAGACAACTGGAGTACCTGGAGGAAACCCATGTGAACATGGGAGACCATACAAACTTCAGGCAGACAACAGCCCAGGTCTGAAACTGAACCCAGGTCTCCAGTGCTGCAAGGCTGCACGTCTAACCACTGTGTCACCATGCTGAGCCACCACACCCCAAAAACTGCATTTTCCTTTAATTCAGAAAATAGGCCTATGTGGTTTGAGCACGCCCAAGCTGTCCAGAATAGCAGCTGTCAAAGCCTGTCTTTGACCTAAATCAAGCTAAATACTTAAATATGCATGAGAAAGAAGTTTGAGGACATCCCGTTGTTTGAAGATAACACTGTAGTACATCACAAATGCCATAACTGCCATCACTAATTTTGATTGACATATAATGTAACAATTTATTTTAACATGTTCTAAATTGTGAACATCAGCAGTGTTCACTATTACCACCACTTGCTGTATCTGCTGTGCCTGTAGCTGATAGTGTTCAATAGCAGCAGTAAACAGTGTTGATGCTTGAAAGACCATTCTCACTCTGTCAAAATCTTCTCAGCAAACAACGGTGCTCTATAAAGTTGGCTAATCTCAATGTACAACATATTATACCAGTATAAATTCTGAAGAGGAAAAAAAATAAAGTGTTGGACTATCACAGTAGAAACAGCTGAGCAGAGAGACATTTTACTTTTGATTTCAGTCTTAAAGGTTAGGGAAACAGCTGCTGAAGCCATCTTGAAGCAATTGACCGGGACTGAAATTGACTCTAATCAGTTAAACTTACTATTGTTTCGTTGTTATGTGTTTGCCTTTAATTTACATTTATACTAATTGTAAATTATCAACTATGTACATGTGCCTGTATTCTCCACTTAGTTTAGAGGCTAAGTGTGAGTTAGAAGTTGCAATCCCAGAGCAAATTTTAAAAAAGCCTCCAGATTATTTTAATTGTTCAACATGTGCACGCTAGGCACCATATGAGTTATTAAAAATCGTGGATAACTGTTTCTCCTCATGACTTTATTCTCATTCAGATTTTTTGTGGTTTTCAGCATGACTGTGATCTAGGCTCACATTTTCTGAGGCAAACTCCTAGCCCCAATTATAATATGTAATTAATGCCTTTCAATGTCTTCTCTTGGGTTCTGATTTTGATCTAATAGCACTTTAGTCCAGCACTTTATTACATGTTATTGGTTTTACAAAATTTTTTCTTTTGAATGTATAGGCAATAACTAGTTTAATATTAAAGAATAAAATGATACAGTACTAGAAATACATATGGAAACAAAAAGAGTGTACACAAAGGTAATAACTTACATAACATTAGTTTAGTTTTTCTAAAATGAAATATTACCTCATATAGCATTATATAGATAAAATACAACTGTTTGTCAAGAAATCAATAAGACAGTGTCACAGCAGCTCATGGCATATACAGTACAAGTACAGGCAATAATACCACTGTTGAGATAGAAATACGAAGAGGCTAAGGCAGAAAATCTAAATTCTCTCAAGCTCTTCACGGTAAATTTTATACATGATATGTGATATTCTGGTACAGAGCATATGAATAACCTTCCTACAAGTTTGGGAGATAAAGTTACTTCAAGAACAGCAAGAGATACACTAGCACAGAACGGTCTCTATGGGCACGTAGCTGCTCAGAAACCATCACTGAGGGGAGGCAAGAGAAGAGAAAAGCTGAAGTGGGAAGATCCAGCTTGCAAAAACATAGCCTTTGCTGACGAGTCCAAGTTTGAGCGCTTTGGCAATAACCAACGGCAGTTTTTTCGAAGGCGGACTGGAGAGGGGTGTAATAATCAGTGCACGGTGAAGTGAAGCCAGCGAAGCATGGGGGTGGCACCATACAGTTCTGGGGTTGCATCTCAGCCAGCGCTGCCAACGATTTACATAAAAATTAGGGTACCCTCTCTGCTGACAGGTACAAGCACGGCTTGATCCCCTGTGCCATTCTATCAGTAAAGCATCTTATTGGGCAAGTTTATTTTTCAACAGAACAAGGACTCTATGTGCACGGCAAATGTGGTGAAAAATATCTGGAACGAAAAGTGGCGAATGGAAAACTAAGAAAGATGGCCTGGCCTTCGTCATTTAAAGAATCTCTCTGGCAATAAGGGCTACCAAGATGCTGTAAATAGCAACCAAGCAATTAACACATTACTGTATGAGGATCACCATTTTACAGCCCATAACCGAAATGTGTGCAGTATAAGGTATAGTCTGTGTGAATTACACATGCATTTAATAATATTTTCTTTTAAAAATAATTTGCATTATAAATCTCTTCTTTTCCTTTCGTTTCCGTAAATATTTCCAGTGTTGTATATTCGGAATGCCTAAGCCTTCTGGTTTCCAGAAAAAAAGAAGATATAGTAGGTACATGTAAATGAAAGGGAGAGATTAATGTCTGGTCTGTGGAAGCTGCATGATAGTTTTTCTAGTTATCCCATGCTAACATGCTGACAGGATTTCTTTGACTTTGTGATCATCAATTTGGTTTATTAGAGTGCAACCAAAATTAATCATGTTGTATAGCTGTGACAATAGAGGGATTTATGAATTTAAACAAAATGTATGCTTGCACCTTTATCATGCATCCCTGCGTCCTCTATGTGCTTTTAATTGAGGTCAATAGCTTGATTACACTAGGGTTAAATACTGCTTTTTACTCTTATACAAACATAGAATATAAATATGTAACAGAATAATCATATAACATTTAAGTGAAATTTAATATTTTAATAGAATAATTATATAACATTTAAGGCACGATCACACATTTATAATTTATCACATCATCTATACTTTTCTCCACTACTGTCATTTTGTGAAGACAGTAAATTAAAGCACATTTAGTAAATTAAAGATATTGATTTATTATTTAAAATCATATGGTTCACATTATCAGAACTTTCATTATCATACTGAAATATTAACGTGACACAAATTCATATCGTGACCTCTTCTGACCAGTAATATATGAAGACAATATTAACAGAATGATCTTCTAGTAAGTGAACCGTACTAGTGACTAACTACCTGGATATTAACTTAAGTCACATATGTTGTTTATGAATACTTTAATGATAGTTACTGTATTTCAGTGTTAACAACTGTATTTATTATAAACTTATAAAGCAAATTCTGCACTTTATAAAATAGTGTCACTGAAAATATTTGTTAATTATTCATGTTTACTAACTCATCTCACATGAAACAAAAATTTTAAAAAAATCAAGGAATTAATATCTACTTTTTAATTATTGTAGCTGTTCCACAACATTTGCAAGTATATGCAATATACAGTATGTGTTCTCAGTTACTATTTCAAGGTAATTTCCTGTGCAACATCTTAAAGTCTTCTGCAAAATTACCTTATAATAGCTTGCCATTTTGAACATTTTATGTTTCAGTATCTTCAGGTAGAGAGTTTGAATTCAGCTCTATAATAATGAAAAAATGTTTGCCTTCTGCACATTAATCATATCTACTTGGATGCTAAGTTATAAAACATTAAATTACTCTACTTCTACATTTACTGTAATTCAGTTTAACAGAAACCGTGATAACAAAGAGGTGACTGATGAAAGCATAACACTTCTAACCACAGGTTATGACAAAATGAGATACATTGCACCAGATTAAAATCACATCTAGTACTGAAAAGACGTTCAAATTAGTAAAAAACTATTTGAAAATGAAATGTAAATATACTCCCAAGCCCTTCGGCATTTACTCCCAAAAACTGTGAAAACACTTCGCAGGTTAGTTGCCCCCATAAAGGAAACCATACCGTGCAAAAGGTAATTGTCAACTGCTTCTTTATGAAGTTATCTTGAAGTCTTTATTCACAAACATCAACAAACGAGCAGACAGATTACAACTTGAAAGGAGATACCTTACCCCCCCATAGTTTGTGTTCTGATGAAAGATGCCAATTACAAGATATATATCTCATCCAACAGATGTAGGATTTCCAAACTTTTAAGCATCCTCTCTCCTTTCCCTGCATTATTAAAAATGACAGGGATATCAGCGCCCAAGCCTATCATTATCAAAGAGATTGCTAGCAGAAATCTGTAGTCGAACCACTTGTACAGCAGGCTGTTGTCAGTGCTCCTGGGCCTTGTCTCCTCTGATCCAGCTGTTTCACCACACAGCAGTTGGTAAACGGGGAACGGGAATGCAGGCAGCCTCCAGGCTCTGTTTGTTAATGTTACTTACCAGCTGCTGCTTATGGGGTGTTAGCAGCCAGACCTGGAAGTGTGCCAGTATTCCTCAGGAACAAGAGAGCGAGGCATCTCTGAAGCCCTTCCATTTACCCCGGCCTGTCATCACTTGACACTGAACATTGCTGAGTGTGTTATCCCCAGGGCTTCTGGAAGAGAGAGCCTGCTGCAGCTTCTCTGTGACCGTGGCTCCCTGGCCCTTCACTTACAAGCCCCTTGTCGGGTACCCTCTGACATGGACAAAGGAATACAACATTCGCTGCTTCCAAAAACAAACTTTGAAAAGACTTGTATTTGATGTTAAAAATAAACCAAAAAACCAAAAAGATCATGAAAGAGTTAGGGAAATACATTACTGATAACTACATAATTATATTTTAGTAACCCTCACAACAT